AAGAAGAGTTTGTTCAATCATCACCACAATTTCAGAACATTTTCTTCTTTTGTACATTGTTGATAGTTCCACATTTCCTCTCATTCTTCCCTAATATGCCCCTAGTAGGCACTATCAATCCAGTTACTTCTTCTACAGCTCTACCTACCCTGGATTTCATAAATAGAAATGCGTATAAAGCACAAACAGGAAGCAAGCAAACAAGGAAAACCAACAACAATGACCAAACAAAACATAGGACAACCTCAATCAAAACGAAAGCAGAAACCATTAACATCTGAGACAATTTTAAATGGGCTAAGGGGGAGATCAAACGATAACGTAGGACATTTCAATCTGGTGCTGTAGGGGTATGAGTTGGGCTTCGATGTACTAAGTCAGCAACTCCAGGTGCTCCTTGGGAGAAAGATGGGCTTTCTACTCCTGTAAGCAGTTCCAGTCTTGGAAATTCACAGGGCAGTTCTGTGCTGTCCTATAGGGTCACTGTGAGTTTGGGTTTGGGTTTACATCTGCCATACTCAAATAACTTTACAAAGCTCCCAGCTCATCAGTTTTGCATTGCTCCATTCATGTACACTTTGTTTCATTTTATTCATTGCAATCCTTTTACTGCGGCATCACGTGTCCCACCTCCTCCTTTGTTGCTTGTTGCCATTCTTCTCTTCTGGCCCTTTGAACGTTGTTCATGAGTACGTGCTGTCTCTTGGCTTCAAATGGTTGTTTTTTTTCAGGTGTGCATTCCTTCACTAGTGTTATTGTTCCCGTGTCGACTTGTCTATTGTTTGCTGACAACTGAGCCACAGGGGTGAGTTCAGTTCTAGACCTGAAGAACGACGAAGGGCCATTAGCTGGGGGGTTCCACCAGCCTTCTTCCAACTAGCAAACCGAGGCTCTTTTATGATCTCGAGTTTTGCGTCACATTTTTACCCACTCTTTCCAGGACCTTCCAGCAGTTTGTGGTGGTGGTCGGCACCACCTCATCCTTCTTCCAGGGGCACGCTCGTGAACACTGATGTTCTTATGGCACATTTTTTCAGCTGACTAATCATTTCAATGTGTCTTTGATTTTTATCATTCCACCTTTTCCCGATGCAGAGAATGGTTGTACCTTACATGGCTGCTAATGAGCTTTGAAGGTCTCATCACGACTCACCAAAGTGGGATGTAGGACATTGTCTTTGGGGATTGTGTTATACCAGTTGACCTTGGTATCCCCTGAGACCTTGGTCCTGTGCCAAGTCCCAGTGTGACTGTTAGATGGCAACTTCTTGCACCTGTGTGAAGGTGGGGGCGGAGTCTACCCTGTTGATCAGATCACTGCCTGATGATGCCTCCTTGGGGATGTGGCCTTTTTACAAGACACACTGAGGAGAACTGAGCTCTCCTCTTGCTCTTTTCCGCCCTTCTGCTTACATGGATTCCGTGTTTGACTTTGGGGTTGGTGGCTCATGTGGCCCGAGAACCCTGGGACTGGGGTGTTCTGCTATGTTCATGCCAACTTTGGATCTGCACCCCCTGACCTGTGATTTATTGCCTCCTACTTGCCTTCTTGCTTCATTGGCTGGCAGCGGTGTGAGTCCATAGGGGACCCCAGCTAGCCTTTGACGCACAC